TCTGTGGTTTTAGGTTTGCTGAATGCTGAATACTGAATGCTGACTGCTGAATACTGAGTGCTGAATACTGCAAGCTGCATTTGTTCAGGCGCATTTGCTGCAATAATGTTAATTGCGCCTGCGCATTGCCGATTGCCGATTGCCGACTGTCAACTGGTATTGCTTGAGCGCTTCGAGTTGGCTAAATTACGTCTAAGCGATGCCTAGTCACTGGGTCAGACGTGTTTCTCTACTGTTGTTATTGTTTGTTGACTGGTGACTTGTGACTGGTGACTGTGTGGTTTGATAGTCAAGCCATGCTATAGTTAGTACTGACTCAAGAAATATGCCGATTTTCATGGCAGCGCCAATAGTTCCGGCATTTGAATTTTTATTTCGTTTTAAAAAATTGTTCCCGGTCGGATATCGCATATTATTCGATTAGCTTAAGTACAAAGAATTATTCAATTCATGGATTACAAAATTGTATAATAGTTACTAATTTTTATAAATTGGTCTCCTTAAAAATTTTTCATCGTCAATAAATTTTTTAATTGTAGATAAACTTTCTCATCATAGCTAAAATTATTCATCGTCGATAAATTTTCTCATCGTAGATAAAATTTTTCATTGTCGATAAATTTGCTCACCATAGATAAAATTTTTATCGTAGATAAAATTTTTTATCGAAGTGGTCAGCTTTAATCAACTAAAGTGAATAATATATAATATCTAAATAAATTTCATAATACTGTAATAACAACTTTTTTGTTGGAGATATATTACATAGTTGTAATTATATTACTAATGTTATTACTATAACATCCACTAGGGATCGCCGGTATAACCAATCGCTATTACAATATCACTATTGTATTACTATTGCTACTGTAATGTACATCTGCATATGCTAGGAAGATTGAAAGATGCATTTCTTTTTGAATGTATATCTTATGCTTTAATATAGTTCCCTTTTAGCTCAACACACCAAGTCTAATAATCTTTCAATATTTGGATTTGATATATCAAGTCCTCCAAAATATATCTCACTTTTCCATTCCACTTCATTATTTAATGCAAATCAAATGGAAAAGAAAAAAGGAAAAGTCCTGGAGCCACTTTTCAAGTATGGAAACAGATAATAGTAACTTGGAGCCAAATCTGGAGAGTACAGTGGGTGAGAAAGCAATTCATACCGTAATTCATTTAATTTTGGCATGGTTTTCATTAAAGTGTGAGCAGCTGCGTTATCTTGCAAAAACAAAACTTTTTTCTTTTTACAAATTTGGTCACTTTTTCTTGATTTCCTCATTCGATCGATCTAATAATATGCTATATCATGTTTGATACCTTATGCTCCACAAGGAGATAAAGAAATTAAGAAAAAGAAGTCTGATGTTATTGTATTTCCAGAAGAATCAAGAGTCCCAAAATACGGAAGCCATAACTTTTCCAGCCAATTGTTGAGTTCATGGTTGTTTGTTAGCACTATCACTAGGCTCCACCCATGCACTGGCTTTTGTTTTTCCTTCAGGTGTGAAGTAATGGATCTATATTTCACCAAATGCCACTATTCACTTCTGATTTTAATCTAATATATTGCAGTATACACATAGAAATATATATATATATATATTATATATATATATATATTAATAATATAATATATAATATATATATATTTCTATGTATAACTGTTTACTCGATCTATATAAAATATTGCCAATATATTAGATTAAAATCAAAAGTGAATAGTGGCATTTGATGAAATAATAGATCCATGACTTCATTATATATATATATATATATATATAAAGAATGTGTAGATAATTGATGGTATGTAGGCATAGATGCATCTTTACTCCTGATCTTAAACTAATATATTGCAATATTTTATAAATAGATCTAGTAAACAGTATATGCATAGAATATATATATATATATAAAGAATATGCAGATAATTGATGGTATGTAGGCATTAGATGCATCTTTATTCCTGACCTTAAACTAATATATTGAATATTTTATAAATAGATCTAGTAAACAGTATATACATAGAATGTACATATATATATATATATATATTATATATTATATACATACACATAGTAGAAAAAGTCTACGGATATTCACATAATTTTTCTAAAATTACGCATAACTTTTTTAATTTTTACTCAAATTCATTTTTATTTCCTGATTTATTTTAACCAAGGAAACAACAATAAAGTTCCAATATAAAAACTAAACAGTTATTCTTTAAAAAAAAATTAAACACAATTATATGCAAAAGTAGCAATTTTGGAAGCAGAAAAAGTCTACGGATATTTCTTAATATTTACATTAAAACAATAAAATTCACAAAAATCTTAAATTTAATAGCCTGTGGTGTAACCCCTGCATTTAATAACCTCTGTTAAGCGTCTTTGCATGGACTCAACTAGCTTTGCAGTATCCTGTGCGTTTATTTCTAGCCATTCTTCTTTGATGACGTTTCTTGCTATATCCTTGCTGGAAAACATATGCTGGTGAATCTTATTTTCCAAATAAACCCACAGATGTTCTATAGGACTAAGGTTTGGTGATTCTGGTAGTGTTTGAAGTTGCCTGAGAGCATAGTACAGCATCCAAATCCGTACTATGACTGCTGTATGCTTAGAGTCATTGCCCTGCTGAAACAAAAAGGTTGCCTCAAGTCCTAACATTCTGACATTTTCTTTCAAATTTGTTTTTAGAATATTTAGATAGCCATATTTCTCCATTGTATCTTGTATAAATTCAAGTCTGACAGCACCATTACTTGCTATACACCCTTAAATCATTACGCCTTCACCAACACGTTTTACTGTTTACTGTTTATCACAGGTTGTGCATAATTTTCTCCTTACAAGTTATCTAGCTTTGATTCAAAATATGTAAAATTAACTCTCATCGGAGAAAATAACTCATTTTCAGAACTTTATGGGTTTATTTATATGTTTTCTTGCAAAGCTTAATCATTTTATTCTATTATATCTGGATATGTATGGCTTCTTTCCTGCAATCAGGGTATAATACATGCATTTCTTCAAAATTTTCCGCAGAGTTTTAGGACATATTTTGTTTTCAAGTATTTCGGCAATATGTTCAGCTAGTTTGAAGGCTGTTACCCTTGCATTTACTTTCACCTGGTTGATTATGCTACGTCTTTCTCTATTTGACAGAATTTAGGGGCGGCGAGTGCGAGGTTTAGAAACGTAAGTACTGGTCTCTTTGAAGTTATTTGTAATTCTCTGCACAGATGAATATTGACGACCAATATCTTCAGCAATTTTTCTTTGGCTTACGTCATCTTTCTAAAATTTAACAGTTATTTGCCGCTCACTAAAACTAATTTCACGTCTTTTATTTTATATTGTAAAAATTTATTGCTTATATAAAAAAATATTATTAAATGATTAATTTTTAGACTCTTTAGGAAGTCAACTAATAATTAAATATCATTTAATGACACTTTTATGCGTGCAAGCGAATTTAAATTAGCGGTAAATGTAAATATTAAGAAATATCCGTAGACTTTTTCTACTTCAAAAATTGCTACTTTTGCACATAATTGTGTTTAATTTTTTTTTAAAGAATAACTGTTTAGTTTTTATATTGGAACTTTATTGTTGTTTCTTTGGTTAAAATAAATCAGGAAATAAAAATGAATTTGAGTAAAAATTAAAAAAGTTATGCATAATTTAAGAAAAATTCTGTGAATATCCGTAGAGTTTTTCTACTATGTGTATATATATATAAGGAATATATAGATAATTTATGGTATGTAGGTATTTGATGAATCTTTGTTCCTAATCTTGATCTAAAATGTTGCAGTATTTTATAAATAGATCTAATAAAGAGTTGTATATTAAACTTTTAATACATATTATAAATGACATTGAATCTTTGACAAAATCAAAGCTAATGGGTTTTTCTGCTTTAGCGATGTTGTTAAGAAAAATAATTTCAATGCAAATAATCTTGCTATTGTCAGCATTTACTGTGCTTATCAATTACCATATATACCATATATACGTATAGCACTTAAAGTAATTGCATAGATACGCCTAACTGCCGTTTGGGTAACCCATTTTCATACCAGTAATGCTACTACTATTAAATAATTGTAATATTAATTTCAATTTTTCATGCTATCGAACTGAGGCATTTATCTAATAATTTATCTGGATTTGATTGAGTTGCGCTATGCACACACACAGACACTGAGGATCATCTCGAACATATACGTTGCAACATGTTCGTTTGGTTTCGCTTGATGGCTGGGTGTTTGATGATGCAAGCGTAATCGTTGTTGTGAACAGCCGGCACTGTTTAGGTAGGTTAGTAAGATACGCGGTTGAAGCTCGCTTGAAGCCATTGAGCACAGTCGGTTGGAAACGTTCACGTTAAGCGGTGCTTGAATCTCGATCTCGATCTCATATCATGAAATACTCGTGAATACGAAACGGAATCTTCAAAATCGCAAACTTACACAAAACGATCACGTAAAAGTACGTAACAATCGTAGAAATAATTTCTCAGTTAGAAATTTTCTTGCTTCTATTTTTGTTGTCATTTGTTGTTTTTCGTTGTGTTTTGTTGTGTTTTGTTGTGATTTGTTGTGATTTTTGTTGTGTTTTGTTGTGATTTTTGTGTTGTTTTGAAGAATCACAAACACAAAACAAACAAAAGAAATTAAACAGTAAAAACTGAAACGGATCGCGATGCAGTGCTGATTTGATGAGCTGAGGTGCGTACATGGATCTGGAATCAGTACGTTCACGGCGTTCGTTTGGAGCATAGCATGAAAAGCGGAAGCGGGTGTGCAAGTGCATCGTTTGAAATAATTTAAGGAAATCCATTCAATTCATTTAATAATTGTTTAAAATTAATTGTTTTAATTAAAAATTAATTAAAGAAAAAATTTTTCATGCTTGTGGTTAAAAATTTACTTACACATAAAATTTTGTTTGAAAATTTAAATGGAAACATAATTAGTTTGAAACCTAAACATATTTGATTTAAACAAAATATTTGAAATTGAATCACCCAAAACGGATTTTTTCTAGTTTTCTAATTTTTTTTTGTGTTTAACGCGAAAAACCGTTAAGTTCCGTAGATTTGCGGTCTCGATCGGTGACATTACTTTTTAAAAAATATAAAAATCGATCATTGCATTTAAATAAGTGATATTGAATTCGTTTTTTGTTTATAAGTTTAAGTATAATTACAATTAATTTAAGAACTCAGTACAAAACACCATTTCTTGCAAATATGTACCACAGTGATAACGTCTATAGAATATCACGCACCTGGCCGATTGCTGCGTACCTCATATTTTTAGTTCTAATACAGTTACAGGGCCAGACAACGGCTTTCACGATTTTATCGCCCTTTAGTTATACATCATTAAGTTTTAAGAATTTACTCAATAGCGTTCTATTGTCAAGTAATGCTAATTTGGCGGGAGGTGGTCGGAATCTTAAGTCCGATGTATTGGAAGATGCTTCACTTATAACGGTAAGTGAAAGATAAAAAAGTATTGAACTTCTTTTTATTATTCATTTTAAAGTTCTTTTTTTCTATAAATGATCGTGTTTAAAAGATTTTATGCACTTTTCTATTCAACTAATGTGAAATGGCCTTTGTTTAATAGATTTTTTCTTCTTCTTCACAATTCCCATTAACAGTAAAAGCCATTTTACAATATTTATTGCTGCATTCAAGAATTAGAACGTAACTAATGTATGGAGCTTGGAAAACATTTCTTTAAGAGAACGTGATTTTCAGTTATTACAGATATTATCTTTTTATTGCTTATTTGTACAATAATAGAAAAGTGAAAACTCATCGTAAATTAAGATCTCAAAAAGTTTTCAAGTCTCTATGGGCTGTTGGCTTCTATTGACTTCATATAATGACAGTCACCGCTGACAATAGCGGTGACTGTCAACTTCCTAATTTTCTTCTTACTTCTACTTTCGAAAGATAATTGATGATGATGATGAAGAAGAAAAAACCATATTTCAAATTAACACTTTTCACAATCTATACAGTTGGAAGATAACAGAAATAACAATGAAAACAAAGATATATAACACAAAAAAAAGGTACAAAAAAAAACAAAAAAAATCATATTAGATATATAATACTAAAAGGTTTACGTGAAAAACAAAAAAAAAACCTAAAAAAATTAATAGATGTTTTAATAGAATTTTAAATAATGCTCTGTAATCGTGTGTAGACTGAAGAAACAGCTGAAAATCTGTTAATCTGTGATTAACAGTGAAATAGATATTATTTTTAGTATTTAGCTTTTTCATCGTTGTGTTGTTCATTATTTAAAATTAATTCATTAATTTTAAATTAATATGTTGATAAAATACTGAAAATACTGATTCGTTTAAAAACAAATAATGCCACTACAAACAGAATAGTATTGAAATTTAATAATTAAAAATTAAAATATAATTAATTAATACAATTACTCCAATTACAATTACAATTAAAGCAAGTAGATTTGTTAATAAAACTTTCACAGCAAATTAACAAAACTCCAGGAAAAAGATACAAACATACAAGTCAAGTACGGCTTTGGGTCAGCTGGCTAATGAACACTGACTCTGAGCTTCAAATTTGGCAGGGCACGAATTTAATCACTTGTACTTGCAGTCACAAAAAATTATTTACGAATAATTAAATAGAAGAATTATTTCCTAGACCACAGATGATGGGTATTTGGCAATACTCGAAACAGCTGTGTGGTCAGCCAAAAATGCAATTAATTAAATTAATAAAAAATGAATATTTATTCTTGTAGTTCACTACTGTACGAAAAACTGCTTTAAAAACCAATTCAAATTGATATTGGACTATAATTATAACTACAAGAAATCATAACCATTAGTTTAAAAGTGTGATCTTCGCGATCAAATTTATTCTATTGTTTTAACAACATATGATAATTATAATAATAAAAAAAAAGAAACAAACTTCCACACATTCTTAATAAGTAATTACTATTATCTTAACTCTGTCTAAATTTAACTGAGAATTTTGTATTTAGTATTTATTATACTCTTTATTGTTTTTCCCATAGCATGAAAAGCATGAAACTATCGAATAAGAGATATACATATATCGAGTATATATCATATATCGTGTATATAAGTTCAGGTTTTATGTAGTGTATATTAATTGGATTTCTCATATATATATTTATTTTCATATTTTGTTTTTTTTATTCGAAAAATATACTTCTAAGTTGAAACCTAAGTAAAATCACAACATATATATAAATATATGTTTATTCAGCAGAACTCAACTGCCGAAACATTACCACCAAAACTGTTACCTTGCAGTTTATTCTATGAGAATAAAAACTTCCAGTTTATATTGGGCGATGATGACTACATCGTCAGTTTAAACTGCAGTTTATTCTATGAGAATAAACTGTGGTGCTTTGAGTTATGCTATGAGCTGTGTTATATGGTTTTGCACGGTGCTACTTATGGAAGACGTGTAATACCTGCTCTACACTAGAAATCTTATAGTTTATTTATGATATTTTGATTTATTATTGATTTAACATTATGATGATTTCTGTTTTTGCCGATTGCATTAATAATATCACGAATAGATTGTACCATACTATTTATGTGGATAGTACTGTGGTAGGAACTATGTAATAAGGACATCTCAGACACTGCAGGGCTCTTCTGCCTGACATTTACTTTTCAGATATTTACTTTACTGTTCCATTTGCTACAGTTAAACTATAAATTAAACAAAAATACCTGAACATAGCCAATCCATACTGGGCGATGATGACTACATCGTCAGTTTAATCGCATATCTGCACTTATCTTACACTTAACATATTTCAAGCAAGGATTGCTTAGGAGCTTAACACGCCTCTTAGAGAAACACCCATATTATTTCTACTTCACAAAATAAAGGTCTTGAATTCTTGAACAGTATGAAGCTACTAGAATAGTTATATTTATTCTATTTAAAAGGTATCACTGTGTCGAATTTTTTTAAATTTCAACATTAATTTAATGTTCTAAATACCTCATTTATCCATTTTAAATCTTACTTATTCGCCTAATATATTAAGTTCATTGAGTCGTAATGTCGTAACAGATACTGTTTGAAAAGGATCGATAATTATTCAATGGTATGGTCTAATTTGGCCCATAGAATAACTTTCGACTCAGTTTCTGAATTTTCTGTAGTCTTTTAATTACTAATTTTGCACTTATAAACAGATAAGGAACGAAGTATTATTGTTTGGGTGCTACTCCATATATGGCTTTTGCGGTGAAAATATATTAATAAATTACTAATGAGGCAATTAAAAATGGCAACCATTATCTTTTTGGTAATTTTCTTTTCTAGTTCTGATTTAGGGACTATTTTAAGAGTCTCTATAAATCAGCAAGCTATAGAACTTTTCAGTGGTATGAAGATGCTTTACTTTTAAGATCAAGATTTCGATTAATGTTTTTAATGGAGTTTATTTTCCATTTTCGTTTCTCAGACCATGAAATCAAAACCCAAAAAATAATAATATTTGTTAAGAAATACTCTCTATATGCTATATTGAAAACTGTATTTTACCACCATATCATAAACTGTAAGTAAAACTAACTTCTTTTGTTAAAAATTATTACAAAAAAACGATAATTACAAAAAAAATCACTGTTATTCACGTCAGTAAATGATATACGAAAATAGATGTAAGCTATTGTTCCTTTTTCCTCTACAGCACTACAACTCATTGCAACCTTTGTTGCCTTTCACTATTTTGCCTTAGTGCACTTAGTTATTAGTGAATTATCTATAGTTCTTTATTGCCACACTTTTCAATTTATTTAATAGTATTTAAACAACTGCCACTTATAATGATAAATTAAATCCTACTCGCCTTTAAGTAGCTTATCTAATTCAGTATTAGAGCACATCCTATAAATTTGTATTCTATTATTACTCTATTTTTCTTGAAATCTTTTTTGTTCTCAAAGCACTTAGTCGCACTTGTAAGTCTGTATTTGGTACTAATATACCTCATCTGATTTTACTACTCTCATTCAGATTGTATGAGTACCTTCGAGTACCACTATAACCATGCATTCGCAACACAATGGGTCATTATTTGTGCCCATGTTGGGTTTTAGCGTGTAATGCCTTACTTTAATCTAACCTAACCCATAGATTGGTGGCATATTTTTGTTTAGCAGTAATTCTCTCCAAAGCAATTTAATTTTTGCTAAATAAAACTTATTTATATTATTTTACACTATTTAATTATAATCATACACATACATCTTTCCAGATTCTATGAAAAAGGTCACCTTTGTGTTAACCTAAACTTTCCAGTCTTTTAGATCTTTCGTCAAAATATGTAGTACAAAGCATGTGCAGACCTTTCATTTTTAATAATCTTTGGTACTCCAGCGCCCTCCGTGTTGAACCTTTTTTTCATATAAAATCCATACGAATATATCCTAAAGGGATTCATCAGGTCTAAGTGAATATATAGCATAAAATAATATATAATATTCGATAAATCTTTCATATTATTTTTTCGACCATACTCAAAGTGACATTTTATAAAAGTTAAGATATAGTTAATTAAGATATCGTAAATGTGGCGGGGCGCTAATAATGTTTTTGGATGTGTATAGACTTTATTAGCCGTACTGATGGATAATATTTTGTTATAATATATTTTGTTAGGAGTATAAGTATTTTGTTAGAATATTTTATTATAAATTTGTGGGAACGTTAATGCACGATTTATTTACAAACCTGATATCAACAAACTGAGGAAGAGACGGTAGTAAATATTGACAAAAAAAAACTCCTCAACAATGCTTCAATTTATGAAATATATCAATCTATTTAAAAGAGAATTCTAAATACTTTTTGTTCTGATATACAGTGTTGTTTTAATCTTGTGATTTAAGTAAGTGCGATTAAGTATCTGACTCTTTTATTTATAAATAGTTGTTTCGAGTAAATTTAATTAATGGTATTTATTAAATTTGTAATTTGAAGTATGGGTTTGTTTCAGTTGGTTAATGAACGCTGACTCTGTGCTTCAAATTTGGAAGGGCACGAGTTCAATCCATGGTACTTGCAGTCTCAAAAAACTATGTACTTATAAATAAAACAAAGAAATAGTTCCAAGACCACTGATGATGGATATTTGGCAATACTCGAAACAGCTGTAGGATCAGCCAAAAATTCAGTTAATTAAAAATAATTAAAAAATTCTGTTGTTGCAATTCGCTACTGTTCGTTAAAGTTTATATATATCAAGAATTTAATTTCTTTTGTCAAAAAGGAAGTTTGGTAATCAATTTAAAAGAATTTTCGAAAAGTAGTGGACTACAATAACAAAATTTCTTTTATAATATTTTAATTAATTGAAATTTACTATTGAAATTTAGAAACTTTTTGTTGAGGTATGGCTATATTAAAAGCAGAATGCTTTGAAAGCTTCTCAATTTAAG